GTCGATTCTGACTCATAGCGACCCTATATGACAGAAGAGCAGGTCTTTTCTTCCTTGGAGCCGCTGGGTGGGTTTGAATTGCCAGCCTTTTGGTTAGCAGCTGAGCGTGTAACCATTTCTAGCATGCACTAGATAACTAAGACAAGTTTAGAGGCTTTGCTTCCTCTGGTCAGTTATGAACTCTCTCCTGCTTGACTGTAAGCAGAGCAGTTATGGAACAGATAACTCTGGGGACAAGGCAGACTGGGCCCCCCCTCCGCGCCTCCGTGAACTGACAGCTGACATCAGAGCCACCAGACGCTTCCTCAGTCACTCGTGAACATCAGAGGTGACCCACTCAGCGTGTGTCCTGCATGGCCATTGGGCTGCAGTCATTCTGACACAAGGTCACCTCTAGGCTGGTGTCTGGGAAAGAGGCAGTGAAATGGACGTGAGGAACAGGCAGCTGCTGAAAACCAGGGAGAGGGTCACATCAAAAGGACAGAGCCTTTCTAGGGTTTCCAGGAAAAGGGAGCAAAACAAGCTAACCAGCCAGAGACCCAGCCAGAGCTTCCCTGTGACCCTGCTGCAGAAACCACAGGTTGTGGCTAGATAAACATTCTGAAGAGAAAACCGAAACCCGTTGTCCTGGAGTTGATTCCGACTCATAGCGACCATATAGGACAGAGTAGAACTGCCCCATAGGGTTTCCAAGGAGCAACCGGTGGATACGAACTGCCGACCTTTTGGTTAGCAGCCGAAGCACTTAACCACTGCACCACCAGGATTTCCATTCCAAAGAGACGTAGTCCTAAAATCCAGATACGTGGGACTGTATTACTGTAACTTCAATACTTTTATCCGCAGTCCCTGGGGCATGCAGGAGCTTGCTAATTAGGAATTCTGCAGTAAATATTTCTGATAAAAATCGGCACACAATAAGAACTAGGTTTGTAAATGTTTTCAAGTTTGTTCTTTCCTTCCAAGAGAATCCAGCCAACTATCCTGCCAGTGGGCTATATAGGCAGGATGCTCAGAAGAATCTATCTTAGCATATTTGGGGGCTGAAGTAAAAAAATACTCTTAACCTTGAAGGATCCCAGTCACAGATGCCTCTTGGGGTGGAGGGAAATCCAATTCCTTGAATCTCGTGGTACATCCTAGTAGACAGTCATACAGTCTGCCCCTTCCCGGTGAGCTAAGCCTCTCCAGGAACAAAAAGGAGACAGCACAGTTCTGAGTACCACAGGAACTTTCCAACCCTCTGCTTCTTTATACGTTCTTGACCTCCCACCCAATGATTTCAGGATGACACAAATGCTCCTACAGCCTGGTGACACTTACTAAGCAGCCACCACATGCCTGACAGATGACAGAGGACGACCAGATAAGGGCCCTAGGGGAAATCTACCTCTCACCCGGGTCAAGACACCCTACGCTAACCCCTAGCTGAGCTCATCCATGCATTTCAGACCTCAAACTGGGTGTGAGGCCTACTATGTGTCAGGACTCACTGGAGATCTAGAAGTAAAAGCCACTGCCTTTACTCGTAGGCTAGTCGAGTCCCTGATGGTTAACGCACTCTATGCTAATGGAAAGGTTGGAGGTTCGGGTCCATTCAAAGGTGCCTTGAAAGGTCAGGTGATGTCCTTCCAAAAAAATCAACCACTGAAAACCCTATGGAGCACAGTTCTACTCTGACTCTATGAGGTCGCCATGAGTTGACGTCAACTCACTAAAACTAGTTCAGTGGACGAAAGCGTCAAATGAACAATCAGAGTGGGGCTTACAGGGGTTGGTATAAAGGCTTCCTGGAAGCTATGCTGCCTGAGTTGAACTAGGCAGTGATGAGTAGCTGGGTGGGACCTGAGTTGGAAGAGGGTTTAACTCTCTTTCCTCTCTCATGTAAGTAAGGCTTGGGTGCAGCTCCCACAAAGAAGATGCCCCTTGCCCCACCTAAGCATTGGAGCAAATGCTCTATGTCTCCCAGTTTCTCTTCTCCACTGGCTCTGCCCCTTGTAAGCTGGGTTCTGGCTTTTGCTTCCATTGGAGTGATAAGATAACCATAAGACCTGAGACTTGGGTTTGGGGATTTCATTTTGAGGAAAGCAAACTTTTGAACCTCTGAGCTTCTACATCAGTCAGGCTGAATTGGAGTGGGCTTGTGTCTTGGTCAATATCAACACAGGACATTCCAACAAACACCATGCAGCTCAGAGTCCCTTGAGCCCCAGTCTTAAGACACTAATACTTTTCATTACAGCACATTGACTTTCTGGATTGAGTGTTTTAGATTGCTCTGTTGATGAAAAGAAAAGAAGGTTTCCTTTTACAAACATTATTACTATTATCTCTGGAATAAATACTCCTTGCAAAAGTCTACTAAATATTCTAGTATCTGGTAAGATTTTTATTGTTATAATAGATTTGGAAAAGTAAATAATGTGCCAGTTACATAATTCTTTAATATTTATAATTTAATTTGTTTGTCATAACTCTCTAAGGGTAGTATTTTCCCTTTCTACATTTGAGGGAACTGTATTTCTAAAAGATTAAATTGCCATCCAAAATTATAAGAAGCCCTGGTGGCACAGTGTTTAAGCACTTGGATGCTAACCGAAAGGTCAGCAGTTCAAACCCCCCAGCTGTGATCTGCTCCCATAAAGACTACCGCCTAGGAAACCCTATGGGGAAGTTCTACTCTGTCATATAGGGTCGCTATGAGTCAGAATTGACTTGATAGCATACAACAAGTGGCCGGTCCAAAATTATAAAGTCAGGTAATAGAGCAGTCGGGACTCAATGCTGTGCCTCAGATACCAGAACTCAGACAACTTGCTCTTTCCATGATACTATGCTAACACTAATGAAGGTCCTGAAATCTGCGCTGAAGGCATTTGTGAAAAATAAGGCTCCAGGAACTGATGGAACACCAATTGAAATGTTTCAACAAACGGATGCAGTGCTAGAAGTGCTCACTCATCTATGCCAAGAAATTTGTAAGACAGCTACCTGGCCAACCTACTGGAAGAGATCCATATTTATGCCTATTCCCAAGAAAGGTGATCCAACCAAATGCAGAAATTTTTGAACAATATCACTAATATCATACGCAAGTAAAATTTTACTGAAGATCATTCAAAAGTGGCTGCAGCAGTACATCGACAGGGACTGCCAGAAATTCAAGTGGGATTCAGAAGAGGACATGGACCCAGGGATATCACTGCTGATGTCAGATGGATCCTGGCTGAAAGCAAAGAATACCAGAAAGATGGTTTACCTGTGCTTTATTGACTATGCAAAGGCATTCGATTGTGTGGATCATAACAAATTATGGATAACATTGTGAAGAATGGGAATTAACGATTAATTGCGCTCATGAGGAATCTGTACATAGATCAAGAGGCAGTCGTTTGAACCGAATAAGGGGATACTGAATGGTTTAAAGTCAGGAAAGGTGTGCGTCAGGGTTGTATCCTTTCCCCATAGTTCTGCAATCTGTATGCTGAGCAAATAATCCGAGAAGCTGGACTGTATGAAGAACTCGGCATCAGAGTTGGAGGAAACCTCATTGACAACCTGTGTTATGCATATGCTACAACCTTGCCTGCAGAAAGTGAAGAGGACTTGAAGCGCTTAACTGATGAAGATCAAAGACCACAGCCTTCAGTATGGATTGCACCTCAACATAAAGGAAACAAAAATCCTCACAACGGGACCAATAAGCAACATCATGACAAATGGAGAAAAGACTGAAGTTGTCAAGGACTTCGTTTTACTTGACTCCACAGTCAACACCCATGGAAGCAGCAGTCAGGAAATCAAAAGACGCATTGCACTGGGCAAACCTGCTGCAAAAGACCTCTTTTAAGCGTCGAAAAGCAAAGATGTTGCCTTGAAGACTAGGTGCGCCTGACCCAAGCCATAGTATTTTCAATCGACTGATATGCACGGGAAAACTGGACAATGAATAAGGAAGACCAAAGAATAATTGACGCTTTTGAATTGTGGTGTTGGGGAAGAATATTGAACACACCATGGACTGCCGAAAGAAGAAACAAATCTGTCTTGGAAGAAGTACAGCCAGAATGCTCCTTAGAAGCAAGAATAGCGAGACTATATCTCACATACTTTAGACATACTGTCAGGAGGGATCAATCCCTGGAGAAGAACATCATGCTTGGTAAAGTGGAGGGTCATCGAAAAAGGGGAAGACCCTCAACAACATGGATTGACACAGTGGCTGCAACAATGGGCTCAAGCATAAAGACGATTGTGAGGATGGTGCAGGACTGGGCAGTGTTCTCTTGTGCATGGGGTCACTATGAGTCAGAACTGACTCAGTGGCACCTACGCACAACAACAGCAACACGCTAACTCTAAGAATCCCTGGGTGGCACAAACGGCCAAGTGCTCAACTATTAGCTGAAAGATTGGTCATTCAAATCCACCCAGAAGTGTCTTGGAAGACAGAATTGGTCATCTGCTTCCAAAAGGTCACAGCCTTGAATACACTATGGAGCAGTTTACTCTGCATACATGGGGTCACCGTGCGTCAGAATTGACTCGACGGCACCCAACAACAATCGTAAGTCCTTGAATCAAATGGAACTATTTATATCTAAGTTGACTCTTTGAAGCACAACACAGCTGAAGACATTCTAAAAAGAGATCATCAAAAAATGTTTCATACACAGTGATTAAGAATCAGATGTTTATAAGCACAGATCAACACAAACTAAATTAGAAGCAGCCCTGGTGGCGCAATAGTTAAGCGTGCTACTGCTTTAAATAAATGCACGTATTCAGTAAGAACAAAATGCTAGCAGCAAATGCAAAAGGGTTTGCTAATAAGGTAGCCTAATGATCTTTCCCCAAATACCATCTTGACCCTCTGTTTTATTCTTTAAAATCCTCTCTTTGTGGCTGTAAAGTCCCGTGACTAATAGAACCCTGGTACCCAGAATGCAGAATGTGGAAAGCAGCATCGCTCTCCTCCATCTCTGCCGCCAGCCGCCCACCTGGCGTGCCGGATGGAAGCGATGGCATTGCTGAACTCGCTGTCTATGCTGCGGCAGTTGTAGAACTCCTCGTAGGCTGGCCTGGAAGAGCCCTGGTACTCGATGCGGCTGATGCGGCAAATGCCCACGATCAGGATGATCAGCATCAGGATGAAGGCGACACAGAGGGCGCCAATGATGATGTAGAGGGAGTGGCGCGGCATGTTAGTGAGACTCTCCGCCACGTGCCCGGACTTCCACTGCAGGTCTGGAGGCAAAATAAATGAGGAGATATGAGTTCTGGGTTCCAATGTGGAGGTCTGTCCCCCCTTTACACTGCTAACTTAAAATCTAAGGGCTACCCAAACTGAGAGCAATTATTTTCTATCGTTAAACCAGACCAAGGTCTAACATTATGTATGAGGACATCTTACAAATCACTAAGGAAAACCACAAACAGGGCAAAGGATCATAAAAGGAATTCACCAACGAAATACAAATAAAAAATTATTTAGCTTCATAATTATAAAACAAATGCAATTCCTCTAGTTTTAAATATTATTTTAAAAATTATTTCTCAATAATATTTAAAACATTTTTTAATTATGATAACCACTGGTAACCAAAGTACACAGAAATGGGGACTATGTAAATTGACACACAACTCTTTTGTGGACTAACTGGCAAATCTTTATCCTAGAAATTCCAGTTTTTTAGATTTTAAGCTGCAGAAACTGTGCCGTAAGTGCATAAACAGCTATGTACAAAGATGTTCATCTCAGCACTGTAATTTTTTTTATTGCTGTGCTTTAACTGAAAATTTACAATTCAAGTTAGTCTCTCATACAAAAATTTATACACACATTGTTATGTGACCCTAGTTGCTCTCCCTATAGTGTGACAGCACACTCCTCCTTTCCACCCGATTTCCCGTGCCCATTCAACCAGCTCCTAAGCCTCTCTGCCTTCTCATCTCGCCTTTGGACAGGAGCTGCCCACTTAGTCTCACATATCTACTTGAGCTAAGAAGCATACTCTTCACGAGTATCATTTTATGTCCCATAGTCCAATTTAATCTTTGTCTGAAGAGTTGACCTTGGGAATGGTTTTAGTTTTGGGCTAACAGAGAGTCTGGGGGCCATGTCTTCCGGGGTCCCTCCAGTCTCAATCAAACCATTAAGTCTGGTCTTTTTATTAGAATTTGAGTTCTGCACCCCACTTTTCTCCTGCCAGGGACTCTCTGTTGTGTTCCCTGTCAGGGTGGTCATTGGTGGTAGCCGGGCACCATCTAGTTCTTCTGGTCTCAGGCTGATGAAGTCTCTGGTCTATGTGGCCCTTTCTGCCTCTTGGGCTAATACTTTCCTTGTATCTTTGGTGTTCTTCATTCTCCTTTACTCCAGGTGGTTCGGACCAATTGATGCATCTTAGATGGCCGCTTGCAAGCTTTTAAGACCCCAGACGCCACTCACCAAGGTAGGTTCAGAACATTTTCTTAATAAACTTTGTTATGCCAATTGACCTAGATGTCCCCTGGAACCATGGTCCCCAGAACCCTGTCCCTGCTACTCTGTCCCTCAAAATGTTTGGTTGTATTCAGGAAACTTCTTAGCTTTGGTTTAATACAGTTGTGCCGACTTCCCCTGTAGTGTTATCCTTCCCTGCACCTAAGATAATTCTTGTCTATTATCTAGCTCATAACCATCAAAGAATGTTCTCTTCTGTGTTTAAACCTTTTCTTGCGTTCTTATATAATAGTGGTCTTATACAATATTTTTCCTTTTGTGACTGACTAAATTCACTCAGCATAATGCCTTCCAGATTCCTCCACGTTATAAGATGTCTCATGGATTCATTGTTGTTCTTTATCATTGGGTAATATTCCATGATCGGAACCATAATTTTTAAATGTTAAATTATCAACTACTGCACATTTAGAAAAAGGTTCAGAATGTAAACACAGCCACCCACATACTCACTACTCAGAGTTAACGAACGTTACCATTGTACCACCTGTGTGTTAGAATTTTTTTCTGCTATTTTTAAGAAGAAATGAAATGCTACAGACATAGCTAGAGCCACTCCCCTGGACTCTCTCTCCACTCCACCCACACACAACATGGTTTATGTAAGTGAAAATATGGGAATCAGCCTAAATATCCAGCTCTAGGTGAGATGGAAATGTGTTCATCCAACAGCCAAAGAATAAAACAAGGTCACCAAACAGGATCCTACTTGCAGAGTACAGTTCATACGCTTTCCTCTGAGGCACCTGCTCTGAGCTGAGGATTATGGGACGCTACCTTGGGCCCTTTCTACTAAGTAACAGCCTCTATCCCAAACCAAAAACCAAACCCGTTGCTGTCAAGTTGATTCTGACTCATAGCGACCCTCTACGACAGAGTAGAACTGCCCCACAGGATTTCCAAGGAGCGGCTGGTGGATTTGAACTGCCGACCTTTTGGCTAGCAGCCATGCTCTTAACCACTGAGCCACCAGGGCTCCAGCGAGACCTCAAACAGGGACCAAGCAAGCAGATGTCTTTCCTTGAAGCCTGACAAAAAAATGACCTGTGTCTCCCCACCTGGATGGCTCTTGAGAGTTTGAGAAGAATGAGGATGAAGGAAGCAACTTCCGCATCTGTACCCAGAACTTCCAGCTCCTGAGTATCTCACTGAGACCCCAGAAGCAGGTTCTGCCATTCCAGTCTGCCTGCCTGGGCCCCTAAGGCCCACGGAGCTGCAAAACCAACTAACCATGGTGTGTTCACCGCTCCACGTGAGCCAGCTCACACACAGGCTGACAGAACGATACAAACCAGCACAGGTAAATCGTCAGGACAGAAGGGAGAAGGTGTTCTGGGAAGCTAGAACCAGGGCTCAGCCGGCAGCCATGTCACCTGCAATGCCTGGTACACACGAAGAGAGACAACTTGTTTTCCTGGCTGACCAAAGCAAACGTGACTCGCTTGATTTCCAAGCATTTCTGCATTCTCTGAAAAACTCAGTTGTAGGCTGGAGCCCAACGTTCAGCAGAGTATGTTATAGTATGCATTTTGCATCAACGAAAAGAAGCCCTGGTGGTGCAGTGGTTAAGCACTCAGCTGCTAACCAAAAGGTTGGCAGCTCAAACTCACCAGGTGCTCAGCAGAAGAAAGATGTGGCAGTCTGCTTCGGTAAAGATTACAGCTTTGGAAACCGTATGGGGCAGTTGTACTCTGTCCTATAGGGTGGCTATCAGTTGAAATCAACTCAGTGGCAATGGGTTCGGTTTGGTTTCCTCATCACCATGAATGCATACTATATTTCTACTCCGACTGAGAGGCTGCTCAGATCTGATCACCACAGAAGGGCCACCTGTGTTCCGGATGAGTTTTTACAGTCTCTGCCCAAACTTCACGCAAATAACCTAACATCACACGGATGACGTATACACAGAGCGCGCGTGCATAGGGCCATGTCGGAAGAAATCGTCTCACTTCCCGGGTTACCTGCACTGTGCTGTGTCCCAGGCTCCTGAAGAGCTGCCGAGACTGCTTGACTTTGTGAAGCCAGCATTTCCTAAAACCCTGCGTTCCAAGGTGTTTGGACTTTGGGGGAAAACGTTCTCAACATTTCTCCTAAAACAGCTGCTTTCCCCTCTGCCCTTTTCTTTAAAGCTGGATGCCACCTTACTGTCATCTAATGCTTTGCTGACAGCAGTGAATGGGGCTGCCCTGGGTGCAATGTCTGCTTAGCAGCCAGGCTGGATCTGAGCGAAGCCAGCACTGGGGCTGGAGGCAGCACATTTATCTGCACCAGGTGGCTGCAGCCCATGTACAATCCTCATAAACCATTGCTGCATCCTGGGAGTCTCATCGCATGAATTATTTACTATGCTGGCTACTAGAGCGTGGGCTGCCGAGGGTGATCACATTGTCTCACAGGTTCATGGCCAGGAATTCAGGCACAAGAGCCGCTCACGACAAACGTCGTCCTTCTGGGCCTGCGGGACCATTTGCATTTTGGGTTACATTCAATTCGTCTGCTGTCTCCTATTTTTCAAAGTGCTTCCGCAGGTAATATTTCAGGGGACCTGGGAGGAGAGCTAGGTAGGAAAGCTGGACTCAGAGTGACACTCGAGGTGAAGCAGGCAGCCAGCAGCAGAGTGAACGACACGTGGCCTGCTGACAATGTCCACTCCCTCAGAAGTAGACTTCATTTGAGTTTACAAATTTATTCTAAAATGCATTACCATGTCTATTTTTTATTGTACCTGGATGAAAGGATAAAACTAGTTAATGTGTCCACCTATGTTACTGAAAAAGGGAATAGACAGGAGTGAGTGAGAGAGTGTTTTACAGAGATGTCACTTAGATAAACCAAACCCATTGCCATCAAGTCAATTCCGACCCATAGCGACCCTATAGGACAGAGCAGAACTACCCTGTAGGGTTTGCAAGGCTGTAATCTTTACCGAAGCAGACTGCCACATCTTTCCCTGCTGAGCAGCTACTTGGTTTGAACCACTGACCTTTTGGTTAGCAGCCGAGCGCTTCACCATTGTGCCACCAGGGCTCCCTTTGGTTGATGCAAAATGGATTTTATAACATACTCTGCTGAACGTTGGGCTCCAGCCTACAACTGAGTTTTTCAGAGAATGCAGAAATGCTTGGAAATCAAGCGAGTCACATTTGCTTTGGTCAGCCAGGAAAACAAGTTGTCTCTCTCCGTGTGTACCAGGCATTGCAGGTGACATGGCTGCCAGCTGAGCCCTGGTTCTAGCTTCCCAGAACACCTTCTCCCTTCTGTCCTGACGATTTACGTGCACTGATTTGTAACGTTCTGTCGGCCTGCGTGTGAGCTGGCTCAGGTGGAGCGGTGAACACACCCGGGTTAGTTGGTCTTGCTGCTCTGTGGGTCCTACAGGCGCAGGCAGGCAGACTCAAATGGCAGAACCTGCTTCCGGGGTCTCTTTAATCTGGAGAAGAGGGACAAGTGGGAAAAAGGGAATGGAATGAATAGATCATCTCCTTCATAGGAGTCCACTCTTTCAACAAATATTAAGCACCTACTCTATACAGGTCAACCACCAATCTGACAGTTTGTTGTACTGTGGTGGCCTGCATGTTGCTATGATGCTGGAAGTTACACCACCCGTATTTCAAAAACCAGCAGGGTCACCCACAGGGCACAAGTTTCAGTGGAGCTTCCAGACTAAGAAAGACTAGGAAGAAAACCCTGGCAATCTACTTGCAAAAATTAGCCAATGAAAACCTTATCGATCACAACA